GTGAGCTGATGTGAGAACACAGCAGGATATTCTCCGGAGAATTCACCTCCAACCAATAGGAGGGGGAGTGACGTTTTCTATACTGTTACACGGTGCAGAGACTGTATACATGCGACCACTACGATCTCTGTGCACGTAGTAAAACGGTTGCATTATGTTTTCTGTTCTCCAGTTTGTTGTTCTCCACTCATTTGTTGATATTGTCATTCTGTTAGAGTACAAGTGGCATAGATATAAAGGGAAATATTCTCATTATAGCGTTGTGTAGCGGGCTCTGATGCTTCATCCGCCACTTCCACTTTGTATTGTTATGTCAAGTCTTACCTCTATCTCTGACAGGGATAGTCTCCTGCTGTGAGGAACATATGTGAACAGCCAGGTCAGGAGAATATGCGGAGCAGTCCTCCCGATATTATCTAGATATTTTCCAGAGTGCATATGTGAAAACGGCTTTAGAAACACACAAACAAAAAAGATAACCCAGAATGACTCAAATTCCCACCAGGCATTACTAATTTACTGCTTCCACCTACATAGGACAGTGTTTTGAAAAGCCTCTACAAATAAAAATGCATTTTCTAAGGAACCTGCTGCTCATGTTGACAGAATCTGCCCTGTTATGATAACATCTGATGTCGTTGTGCAGAACTTGGCATGCATTTATGTGCATCAAGTGGGTGTGCATAGCTTTTTAAAGAAATCTAAAGTATAAACACATGCCAAATGTCCCGGTTATCATCTCCAGCAGACAGTCAGCAAACATTCACTTTCCTCCTTGTCAAACACAAACTGTTCCAACAGTAACTATACAGACTTAATCCACACTAGGGATGCATGAAATTATTTTTATTCAGTCGGTGCTGATAACTGATAATTTCCTGCTCCTGATGGCCGATATGATTACAGATATACCTTAACATTATTGCATGTTTAAAAGATATAAAGTCAAATATGTAACGTAATATCCAGTGCATAAGATGCAATTTTGATATTTTTCCATTAAAAAAAACTTGGCTGCGTCTTAAATACCGGTGCGACCAATACACCACTATAAAATGCTGACAAATGCACCGTAATTACGACAAGTGCAGCCGCCACCATCACACGATGCACCCAACCTGATGAGATTGAAGATTCACCCCTAGTCTTTGTGTATTGCAAGCTGTTTGTAAACATGGCAATGCGGAGCAGGCTGGCAGCACCACTGTTTAACATCTTTTTTCCATCATGAGGTCACTATGGTGTGTTTAAAGAAAAGGTGGTCGCTATGGAAATCGTCACAGTTTAAACCTTTTCTATTTCTAAGAGACTTCCAAAACAGAAAGCGTCTTAATTACTAGTGAAGTGTCTGATGTAAACAGGACAGAGATAATATAAGTTTACAATGGGTGCGTCTGGAGATAGTATCTGAAGGAGATTTAGGAGTCCCCTTAGGTGGAATGTTTAAACTGAGGTGTTGTATAGGAGTATTGCCATATATGGTTGTGTAACTTGATGTTTTTATGACCCATGACGGGAAAACAGATGTTTAGATGCATATAAGCAATTGTCTCTGTGTGTTCGACAGAGATCATTATTGGCTTCTTGATCCTCCTGGTCAGACGTGACCAGTGATTCTGTTTCTTGCTTAAATAAAATTATACTCTTTGAAAGCAAGTCAGTCTCAACGGCGAATTTCTTCATCATCCAACATATCAACAACAAGGAAATCCACATCACTAGTTTTCCAGGTTTTACGGTATATAGGCCTACACCAATCAGACTTTTAATTGAACGGTTTACAGCAACAGACTACAGCAGGTTGTAGCGTTAGCAGGCCATTGCGTAGCCACCAGCTGATCCCTGCAGGATGCAGACGAGGTGAGAGTGTTTCAAACGCTGCTTCTCCGTTCAAAGTAACCATGCACAATGCAATTATAAACTCGTTATGACTCATTACTGTGTGAAAGTCTGCGAAAATTATGCAAAAATCTATTTTAAACCACTGAAATGTCTTCCTATTTGTACATTTCTACATGGCACTACTTTAACGCCGCCTTCTTTTCACTGAGACTTAACACCAAACACCGTGCATTTGAAATAGTTGTAGTGTAAGTAGTAGAGCCTGAATCTCTACTCTAGCTCCATCCTAGGAGGCATGTAACAGCAAACTCCTCTCTTTGTTTACCTACAGAGAGCCTGTATCAGACCCTGCTCAAGGGGCTCGTTTGTATTCCGTACAAGATTTTAGATGACGATCGTGTATGGATAAAAAAAGGACACAGTCAGTAAATAAAGTTAGGCAGCCCACCCAGGTCGAATCTGTGTCCAAAATGATTCACACAGCTGTTCTTTACTGAGAGAGAGGAGTTCATATATTTCTTCTTTTTTGGCCATCTGACTTAACCAACAAGACGAACAGGTAAAAAATACAAATACCAAAACCCAATGATGTACTGAAGTTTCAACTCCTTTCCTCTTACTCACCTGGGGGGGAAGCCCCGTGTCATCTCCCTTGAGGACGACATGTTTCACATTCCTGAACCTGAAGTAGATGAGGGGTACATCTGATCCAGTTGTTCCTGAAATCTGAACACTCCTGCTCTGCCACTGAGTATCGTCACTACAGCAAAGGTAATGTTCCATGTAATGTCTTCTCAGTCTATTCTTAATCTACCTGTATTTATGTTCATTTAAGGGCAATTCAGACGCACATGATTTTGGGAATTTCTTTTCTTTTCTGTCAAACTTTTAACACATTAAATGTAAAATGTATGTATACCCAGACTGGGGGGCTGGAGCTACCTCAGATTTTTCCAAATCTGACAGGGTTTTTCTCATATCTAAGTATTTAAAACTATTCTTTTGATATAATATGTAGTTATAAAAAAAAATATTTCAAATATGGAAGATATCAGAAAAAAAAGCTGCGATAGGATAGGAGTCATCGGAGGATCCCTCGGACTTTCAGACTGATCCAGAAATAATGCCTTTGGATTAGAAACGTTTCAAAATGCAGAAAATGGCCCAATTCTTCTCAGTTTTTTCTGAGAAGGACCCCTTGACTTGCATGATGCCCCTGTGTACACCTGCTCTTATTTTCTAACATGCACACATTTATTATGAGTCCCGTCTTTCCACAGATGATGGCATCAAGTTTTCACGTGGTTTTCTTCCTGAGTTTGATCAGCGGACTGCTCGTTTCAGAGACTGTAAGTTTAACTCTACAAGACTCTCTTCTTCCTTTCTTTTTTTTTCTAGCAGCTAAAACAGAATTTAAATTTCCGTTTCATTGAGTAGGACATTAGGTGGCTGGGAGTATCTCTAGTAAAATACTGAGAAAATATTAAACTAACACAGAGGCTGAGTCATCAGTTTGTTGGGTAACCCATGAAGTGTACACACAAGAAATTAGACCTTTTCAACTCAGACGTTTTTGTTAATAAAGATTGAGAAAGGTTTTGATTCAATATTTTTTGTCATTTTGGAGAATTGACTATGAAACGCATTTGTAGCATTTTTTTCATCACATTCTTGACGTCCATATGTTTGCAATTAAGACTCCTTTTGTCTATATGTTTTTGTCTCCTCCTGGAACTTATTTCTTAGTTCCTCCTGTCCTATATTAAGTGAGTCTTTGATTCTCTTTTTTTTCTTCCACATTAGCATGCCTGCATCAAGACTGGTGGTTACCTGGTCCCCATCCACAGCCCTGACAGATACAGATTCCTCAACAAGCTGACTGAAAGAGTGTCCGGCCAAACACGCTTACATACTAATTACATCATCATATTGGTGGTCATGATGCAGTAAAGGTGATGAACACTCACAGGATGAACAGTTAGAAACACAATGACCAGGGCGCTGGTAGTGCACGAGCAACATACAGACATAGTCCTCCAAGCGGGCAGCCTGGGTTTGATTCCGACATGTGGCTCTGTCTCCAATTTCTTACTCTATATATATTGGTCCAAATAACAGCATTCAAGTTGGTGGAGGTCAAGTTTTTTTATCCAGCCGTTAGTTACCATGGCTACTAGCCGTTAGTTAACATGGCTACCAGCCGTTTGTGCATCCATGTAGCTGGCCGTCAACTGCTCGATAAAGTCAGCCGTTGCAGGTGTTATGGTTTAACAAGTGACCGTGTCAACTGGTGACAATCGGCCAAATGCGCACGTGATTCTCACGGTTCGCCTTTGTTTATTTTTTTTGTGACAGTGTCACAATCAATACACGTCAAATATGTATATAATGACAAGGAGGCAAAATCTGTTGTAACTCCGACAACCACAAACACATTGGGCTGAAAGTCGCAATTTAACACGGTCACTAATTAAACCGAAACACCGGTCGAAACTTTTAGCTGGCTTTGTAAAGAAAACTCCAGCCAAGGCTCTAATCTGCTGCTAGTATATCACTGCTCAATCAAAACAACCGTATTCCTGAGGATAACATTTTATTTAAGCTTCTAATTTTCACATCCATATAGTTTTGTTAAACTTTACAATCATTTTAACTGAAACACTTCTAATGATTTTAATTTAATTCATCTATCCATCTATTCCAACAGCAACCACCGATGTTGAAAAATTAAGTCATTGCTGAAGTGTAAAATTCTGCAGTTCTTCGAGTGACCACTTGAGGCTGTCCACAGAAGCACAGGAAGTCACATACACACAACATTTTTTTTTTTACAGCAGTAATAATCATGTTTACAGCCTGGTTAATAAAGCAGCATAGGTCTGATTAGCTCGTGTGTTGATCGTCTCAAACTGCACAACTACACCGGGCGCCGTTTAACGGTTTGACAAGAGGCTTAAAACCCGCCTCAGCTCCAGCTCTCTACTCTTGTGATGATTTTGAACATTTTGTAAACATAGTAAGTAGAGTTGTTGTTTTTTCATCTCACCCAGTCAAAAGCCTAATGTGGCCTTCAGGTAACATTTATTCATCAAAGGATTTAATTTATCTGCAAAACGATATTCAAACTCTTCTTAAAGAAAGAAAGACGTGACAGAGGATGAGGCAGTAGTCATGTATTGTTTTACTCTGTTTACATACAGGTCGACACAAACAGGGAAATTAAAACAAAGATTAAACTAAAACAAAAAAACAGAAACAAATCTCATACACGACAAACACGCTTTAAATCAAATAAACAGCTGCAACTTATTTTAATCAACATTGCATACAGTTATTAGCTTGATACACCCCGGCTGTCCCTTAGGTTGGCACATTGAGACACAAACAGCAACAGCAAATAATAAAAAAATAAAGATTAAATAATGAAAAGCTGATGTGAGCGGTCCTGCTTTGAGTCGGTGTCGCTCTGAAGGAATCAAACATTCTCACGATCAAGTCAAAGTCGCTCATAGCTCAGCTGATTCTGACTGGAAACATTTACTCTTTGATTATGGATGGAAGACGTCTGGTGAGTTTTCTCACAGTCGACAAATCCCTTAAAGAAATACAGCAACAGTGATGGCTGAATAGTTTTTGTACGCCATTTTCCTCCGTCCAATAGAGCGCCATTTTAGACGAAAAACAATTAAAAACACATCAGGGTGAAAGCACACACATCATACATTGTAGTTTATGTTCCCTACAATATCCTGCTGCCACAAATAATCACAGGAATACCAAATTTAAAAAAAAGGGTAGTCAAAGGTTTGGGTAATTTAACTACACTTCGAGCAGAAACGTGCTCAAACTAGGATCAATATTGGAGATGCTTTTGAAAAATGGAGAGAGGTTAGAACACAGAAAGGTTTACAGACCCATGCAGAGCTGGATAAACACTGAAGCTTCAGAGTGAAAACATAAAGAGGCGTTGTTTTCTCAGGTATGAGATTATCATCAGTGTACATAACAGTACTATGGCATGGAGCGAGGGAGGAGACGACTTGTTGTCTTAACTTCAGGCCAGCTAATGGTCACATGTCACATCAGCTTTATTCCAGTGAAGACTCTCGTCCTCTTGTCCTGCACTGACACAGGACTCACTGTGGCAGGAAGTACTGAAGACGGTTTTTATTGTCCTCAGAGGGATTTTCAGACATTTTCAAAACCTGTTTTACAAATTAGAAGATCTTTAATGACTCAAAGGTACAAAAAGATTTGAATTTGCTGTTGAAGATGAAAGAAAAGGGAGAGTGTGTCGACTCAAAGTGCTCGTTATCGTTAATGTGAGAAACACACTTATTCTTCTGACCCCCAATTTCCACATAATCTGTGCAGACGGCGAGCGCCCTGTCCCACTGGATCTGTTTCTGGAACGTGAGCGCAGCATTGATCAGCTGGACACACATCACAGGAGAAGTAGTGCAAACAACATGTTGCTCTGTCTTTCTGAAGATGATTTGTTTGTTCGCTGCCTGTTTTGATGTCAAAATAAAATGATGAAAAATACGATCAGGAGTCTGTGTGTTGTGTTTTACTGTGAAATTGAGCAGACACTCTGTGCATTTCCTTGTCTGACTTCCTGTCTGGGTTGTCATATTCTGTCCAGTTTGACGCACGCTTGCAGCGAGCTCCGTTTAAAATAGACACTCAGAATGTTTGAAATGGAGCAGAGTGTAGTGGCGCCGCTGGCCCGCTCTGGAGACGGACCGCTCATTGACTAAAGTGGCAGCGAACGGAGGCGTAGTGCTGGCGCTGAGAGACCGCGGCGAGCGCAGATTATGTGGTCAGTTTGTCGTCTTCAAAGGCGAGTCATTTCTGTTTGGATCTGAAATCATCTTTTCGTGTCTACAAGTCATTTAACCACCTGATGAGTAAAACTGGATGTTTAAAAATATCTGAATGTCCTCGTACATGACAGACGACGCTGGAATAAACTGAAATGAAGTGTTACCCTGTTCTGACCCCTGCAGGATTCTCTCTCTCTCAGCTTCTAGAAAACATTCACACCAACAGGATGATAAACTCATTCATACACTTTGTTGTTGTTTAAAATCTGTTGTCTCAGTGAAGACGCAGACGTGTCTCCACCTGCTGCTCTCTCCTCTGACAGCGGGGCTCTCTGCTGCACATCAGGAGCTAAAGATTGTTTCATGGACAAGACTAAATTCATAGATTCCTCCTCCTCCTCCTCCTCCTCCTCCTCCTCCTCACCCTCCTCCTCCTCACCCTCCCTGGCTGGGTTTTGGCGCCTCACTGCGAGGACGTGAGAGGCGGCGGTCAGACGGCGGTGCAGCATCTGTTCTGGAAGAGCTGCTCGATCACCGAGGAGTCGGCCAGAGTGGAGGTGTCGCCCAGGTCTCGCTCGTCACAGGCGATTTTACGGAGCAACCGTCGCATGATCTTACCTGCAGAGAGGTGGGGGGGCGTCACAGATCACAAAACATCGCCCCAAACAGACAGTGGACATGTGTCTGTGACTTTAACATCATCAAGTGTAAGGCCGGCATTAAGCAACTTTTACCAGATCGGGTCTTGGGGAGTCCCGGAGCTTCCTGGATGTAGTCTGGCGTTGCAATGGCGCCGATCTTCTCCCGTACTGAGAACACAGAAGACAAATCACATCAGAATCTGACCTCCATTAGGGGTCACTGAAACACTTTGCATTGATAGATGTGACGCAGAAAATAGATCTTTAGAGCACGAGCTGTTCAGAAAACTATGATCGTTTGTTTGTTTACATGCAGCAGGATCTGATCGAGGGTCGGATGTGTGAAGAAAAGCTCTCAGGTGACGATGGAGGAAGATGTTTCCTCACCTTGTTTCTTTGAGTTCTGCCTCCAGCGTGCGGTTGTACTTCACTCCGTCTGTGAGCGTCACAAAGCAGTACAGGCTCTCTCCTTTCACGGGATGAGGTCGTCCCACCACGGCGGCTTCGGCCACGGCCCAGTGCTCCCCCAGAGCCGACTCCACCTCCGCCGTGCTCAACAGGTGACCTGCAGGGGGAAACGGGCGGGAGATAACCAATCAGACCTGAATCACAGGAGGAGGAACTCTTCATTTAAATCAGCTCTACGTCTCACCTGAAACATTCAACATGTCGTCTATCCTCCCTGTTATCCAATAGTAGCCGTCCTTGTCTCTACGGCAACCTGCAAAGAAGATATTAAAAACAAAAACAAAGTTTAAAGGTGAATAAAAGAATCATTTCTCTCCCAGAGGTCAGCAGCGTTTCATCTAACTGTGTCTCACCGTCTCCTGTCACGTAGTATCCCGGGAACTTCTTGAAGTAGACGGTTTCAAACCTCTGATGGTTTCCGTACACCGTCCTCATCACGCCGGGCCACGGCTGCTTGAACACCTGAGGGGGGCGGGGCGAGGAGGAAGAGGAAGAAGAAGAAAAAAAACAAAAGGAGAACGGCAAATTAAGATTAATCGTAATGAGGAAGAAAAAAAGGTTGAGGAAGAGGAGGAAGAGAAGGAGGAGAGGAGGAAGAGGAGGAGGAGAGGAGGAAGAGGAGGAGGAGAGGAGGAAAGAAGTAGGAAGAGGAGGAGGAGAGGAGGAAGAGGAAATGAATGAAGAAAAAAACAAAAGGAGAACGGCAAATTAAGATTAATCGTAATGAGGAAGAAAAAAAGGTTGAGGAAGAGGAGGAGAGGAGGAGGAGGAGGAGAGGAGGAAGAGGAGGAAGAGGAGGAGAGGAGGAAGAGGAGGAAGAGGAGGAGGAGGAAGAGGAGGAAGAGGGGGAGGAAGAGGAGGGAGAGGAGGAAGAGGAGGAGGAGAGGAGGAGGAAGAGGAGGAGGAGGGAGAGGAGGAAGAGGGGGAAGAGGAGGAAGAGGAGGAGGACGAAGAGGAGGGAGAGGAGAGAGGAGGAGGAGGAGGAAGAGGAGGAGGAGAGGAGGAGGAAGAGGAGGAGGAGAGGAGGAAGAGGAGGAAGAGAGGAGAGGAGGAGGAGAGGAGGAAGAGGAGGAGGAGGAGAGGAGGAGGAAGGAGGAGGGAGGAGAGAGGAAGAGGAGGAGGAAGAGGACGAGAGGACGAGGGAGGAGAGGAGGAGGAGAGGAGGAGGAAGAGGAGGAGGAGAGGAAGAGGAGGAGAGGAGGAGGAGAGGGAGGAGAGGAAGAGGAGGAGAGGAGGAGGAGAGGAGGAGGAGAGGAAGAGGAGGAGAGGAGGAGGAGGAAGAGGAGGAGGACAAGTAAGAACAGAAGGGTGAGATCAAGAATTAGATGAAGTAGAAGAAGACTAACCAGGTATCCTTCGCTCGGCCCCTCCAGCTCCTCTCCCGACTCATTCAAGATGGCGGGTATCACTCCAAAGAACGGGAACGTCTGGAAAAGAACACAAGGACGATCGTCTCCACTTTCTGAAACTTGTTTCAATAACTCTTAAAAAACTGTCTCATCTCTGACTGCTTTTAAAAAACATTTCCCAGCTTTTTTAATTTTGTGTTACAATCTTTGTTTTGATCAGTTAAATGTTTGAGCTCCAAAACTTCACCCGTGTTATCACTTTAAATTAAAATGTAGAAGTCCTAAAATAAATGTGGAGGGGGTTCTTTATTCACTCACAGCAGATCCTGGTTTCATGGGCGTGGCTGCAGGTAGAGGAGTCAACACGTGTCCTCCCTGAAAGGACACAAAAAACATCCAGTTAGAAAAACATTTCAACTCCACCAGGTGTAGGTACACTCTCCGTCCAGCAGGGGGCAGCACAGCCCAGTTTCCTGTTAGGCGCTGGTGACAGCATAGGGTCAAGTGAAAAGTCAAATAACTTACTTTAATGTTGAGATAACAGTCTAAAGAAGTTATAAATGACATGTTTTAATGTTTGGTGCACTTACTTAAAAAATGACAGACTTTGATCTACATACAGTTTGAATTTTTGTTTCAATTTCCGCCTAAACTACATGTGTGTTGAAGTGTGAAAAATTCAAATTAATTTAAAATGGTATTGATAAAAACTTTTGTTGTAACTAATAACTATCTGTGAACATCCTGTCCAGATGTGGTGAAGTTCTGGTTCTGATTCCCAGAGATACATGTGATAAGGTTAGAGCTGTCCCTTTTGGAGAAGCCCTAATTTGACCTATTTTCGTTTTTCGGTAACATGCAGAAAACATCCAAAAAAAGTTATTTTGCAGTAAAATATTTTTATACAACAATCCGTTTCATAAACTAGACATGTTCAAGTTATGAAAACATATGGTCGTGATTTGTTCTACCTCGGGTAGGGGTCTCTCAAAAACTAAAGCCTTTTTTGGGGGTTTGTTCCTCTACAATGTAGCTTCCTCATGCTGTAGCGACATGCCATGTGCGCTCACAGTAAAGTGACAGTAAAGTAAACTGTCAGTGTGCCATGTGTGATTGATTATCGTCCGTCTGTCAACGATCACTCACGGTTTCCGTCTGCCAGAAAGTGTCGACGATCGGACACCTCTTCTCTCCACCACGAGTAATACCACTCCAGGCCTCGGGGTTGATCGGCTCTCCCACCGTCCCAAAACCTTCAGAGACTCTCTTTTGTACCTGCAGAGAGAGCGAGACGAGCGTTCAGGACTTCTGTCTGTGTTTTATTTTGTAACATTAAACAACATTAAAGGTGCACTGTGTAGATTTGGTGATGAAATTTGAAAGTTGGAGAAGTGAAACAATTCTATGCTATATTTTCCCTGGAACATGTCCCTGGAACTCTGGAGTTAGAAAAGCTACCAGGACAGTTACGGTGTCACTGCTGCCGGCCCCCCAGCCTAACACATCGCGTATCATTTTATCTTCAGTTACAGGGACCAGATTTTCCTCTGAGGACAGTTTGCGTATAAAGTTAGAGTCAAGCTGAGGATTGATTTTAAAATACTTCTGACTGTGTTTAAGGCATTAAATGGACTTGCCCCCGCCTACCTCTCAGAACTCCTGTCCCCATATCAGCCGATGAGAGATCTTAGGTCATCAGCACAAAACTTCTGTCAGTGTCTAGATCCAGGACAAGGTGCAATGGGGCGGGTTTTTTCTATTGCAGGATCAAAACTGTGAACTCCAGACATCCGTCTCTCTCACACTATTGGTGTTTTTAAAACTCACCTAAGACATATTTATACTCAATTGCCTTCAATGTTCAGTAACCCATCAAGCACAAAAACCACGAGCTCTGTTAGTCCTGTGTTACACTGGAATCAACTGTCACTTGTTCTTTTCTTTTTTTTTTTTTTAATTGTTCTTGTCTGTTACTTTCTAATGCTTGTTTCTGCAATGTTCAGCACTTTGGATCGACTATGTTTAAAGTGCTATATAAATAAAGTTGAGTTGAGAGTTATTGACATATTCCACAGAAGCTGTACACTTCTCCAACTTTCACATCTCTATACCAAAACTACATAGAGCACCTTTAACAGAAATTAAGTCTTGACATATATTAAACATATGACATGAAATACAAACAACAGAAGTGTCACAGATACTTTAGCCTGTTGGTTGGATGAGGATTACATTTTTCTACACATCATTTGTTGTGTATGATGCTTATGTCCCTGTTTTGTTAACCCTTTGATTTGCATTGTAACCACACGGTTGAGCTTTATTCCGCCACCATATTGCCTGTATTTAAAACCCATCTTTGGCTGTTTATCTCATTCACCTCATTGAATAGTGTATGTAACACAGATTATGTCCAATGGGTGGCGCTGCTGTACATAAATATCATTATCTGAAAACTGTGGAAAATACCGGGAGTGACTCGGCGCTGCACAGCTC